TGGAATTGATGATGGTGGTCTTAAGCTGATGTTTCACTTTCTTAAAGTCAACTATCATTTCCTTACACTTGTCTTCGTTCAACTGGAGTTTGTTGTTTTTACTCCATTTCTCTACATCAGACACTGCACTCTGCATTTGGCTTTGGCTATTTCTTGGGACAACCTCGGTTAATGTCGTGTCGTCTACGTACTTCCACGAGTGCCCTTCGGATGGTTTAAGGTCATTGATCATGAGAAGAAATAACCATGGTCCTAATTTTGTACCCTGTGGAACTCCAGATGGAACTGCACCCCATTCGGAGAAGCAATCGTTGGACAGTTTGACGCGTTGCAGCCTGTTCGATAAAAAGTCGCATACCCAGCGAACTACACTACGTGGAACATTCAGGGAAAAGATCTTTTTAACTAGGATTCGGTGATCGATGAGATCAAATGCCTTCCTGTAGTCTAGCAACACCATCCTTACCGCTGCACCTGTCCCGTCAGTGGCAGAAGCCCATGTATGAATCATGGAAATAAGGGCATGCGTAGTAGATGATTTTGGGATAGCGCCATATTGGTTGGGATCAATGATCTCAACGACGGCAAGGCCAATATAATATCTTACGATAAAGTCCTCAGCTAGTTTTGATAGAGACGGAGTTAGCGAGATAGGTCTGATGTGCTTGGTAATTACAGTCACAGGTTTCGTCTTTGGTAGTGGTGTTACATTGGCGTACTTCCATGACAGAGGGAGGGATTGTTCAGCAAATGAACTGTTCAGAATAACACAGACTGGGTTCGCGAGAAACTCGGCATAATCTTTAAGGAGCCAGTTCGGCACGCCGTCTGGACCAGAGGCTTTTCGAGGATTTAGCCTGACTAATGCTGAGTAAACTGAAGACTCATCAAGCGTTAGAACTTCCGAATCATTATCAACGGGAGGAAGACTGTCAAGTGATTGATATTCCTGCATCGGTTCTAGAAGGGCAGTCGAGCTCTAGTCGAGCTCTTCAAGTCCCAGAATCCAAATGGACAACCCATGAACAGGAACTGTTAGCCGTTATTTGGGCTTGCGAGACATTTCATCGTTATCTTTGGGGACGTAAATTTCTTATTCAAACGAATCACGCAAATTTTCAGTGGCTCCAAGCCGTTAGCCCACAAAAGAGTAATTTGGATCGTCGGGCAATGCGCCTAGCTGAGTACGATTTCGAATTGCAACACCGTTCAGGAAAAAACAATGCAAACGCTGATGCCCTTTCCCGATTCCCCTCAGTAGTACTTCAGCCGAATCTACAAGCTCGAGTGAAATCTTTGATGGATTTAAAAACACTAGTTGTTCTCGAGTCATGTCTCGATGTTGATTTATCGCCAGAGAATGAGTTAGCACAAGATGATTTAATTGCCCTGAAACCGTTGGAATCGACTTGATTGGTACTTTCCCCGAAACGAAAACAGGATACAAATACGTTCTAACCGTTACAGATTTCTTTAGTCACTACACAATCGTTGCTCCCTTGTCAGACAAATCTGCAAGAACCGTAGCATATAACCTCTTCAACCATGTAATTTGCGTGCACTCCTGTCCTAAGAAGTTTACGAGTGACCGTCGAACTGAATTTCTTTTTCTAGATATACGCAAGTGCATTTGTACACAATACATGTGTCATCACTTGCAGAGACGGACTACAGAACCGGTTATGCCGACTGACGTAATGTTATCTCCAGTTGTTGTGATACCACAAGACCAGAACACTTATGCCAAAGAGTTGCTCGTGAAACTCTCTAAAGCTCGTGAATATACGGCTGCTATCACGAAAGAACTTCGACACAAGCAGAAAGAGTACTACGATTTAGGCCGAAAAACAACGCACTTCCTAGTTGGTGACCTTGTTGTAGTTCGTCGGACTCAGCGCAGCGGTCAAACAGGAATTGCAGCCAAATGGCTACCCCGATGGACTGGCCCGTATCGCATTGTAGAACAAATGCCAAATGGTGACAATTATCGATTGGAACACGTTGAAGCTGCGAAAATACTCGACCCAACCAAAGTGGACAAATTGATCAAAGTTGAACCCTGGTCAGTCAACGAATCTAACCCCGGACAAACCAATCCAAACAAAGAGGACACCCCGCCCGAAATCTCACAATCCCACCGCAACCCGCAGTCTGAAAATGGTTCGTTTATTGTCTACGAAAAGCTTGGAGACTTTTTTGATGACGACATAAGAGCCATGATCGAAGAGCTGCATGCTTGGTTAAAATCACAAAAGGACCATAAGTCGTCAACCGGAGAAGTACCTTTACACAAAAAATCCCGAGTTCAAAAAGATTCTTCAAAGCATTGGTGGAATTCGTCAGTTGCTGATTCATACACCATCGATACATGCCTGCGCAACCGGTGGAAAAAAACTCTCTGAAGCTGTAATTGGATGCCAGTCAACCAGTGAAATGCCATTTAGACCGTCTAGGAGGACGCTGTGGTATAGGAAGAATCATCGGCTACTACGAAGACGAAGACATGTACAACATTGGGATAGAAAATCGAAGAAGACAAAGTGGAACAAAGCCCTGAGACCAGTCAAAGTAGAAGACGAACCTGCTACTGCACTTGTACAGTCAAATAGTGTGTTATGTCCTATTGAGTTTGACGATAAGCATAAGATTGGACAGAACGCTCAAAAAGCAACTTGAAGATCTACAGTTACTTTGTGTTTGTTATAAGAACAAGTGTCTTCCTTTTTAGCTAAATACGTTTGTATTACCAAATATGTTCTCTTTTTTTAAAAAGGAATGGAATGTAGTAGGATTTTAGGGAAGCACAACCTGCGAGCAGGTAGAAACGCAGCACATGGACTCAATGGCCGCTAGCTAAAGGATAATTTCGTAGAAGAAAAACGATATCATTTCGTTTATTGTTCATGTGTTATTTATATTGTTGTTGATATTAGTAGAGTGTACGTTTATACACTCTGACTACTACAAGGGGCGGCGGAACAGTGGGTTGGGGGGGGGGGTTAAGCCCACTGAAAACGATCAGAGTAAAGGCCGAAAGACACCGGAGGCGTTTCGATAAAGCAGAGCTATTTTTTATTTTTCGAAAGTTCATAAAACAATCAATCAAGCAAATTTAAAAAGATACTACGAAAACCACCCATGTGCAGTCTCCTTGCTTAAAAATATATCACAGCACCGCCCACAAACGTAACCGCACCGCCTCAGACATAAAGGAATTTCAATGTCGCGACCAGCACGTTTGATTTAAAAATAGCAAATATCGTCTAGTTTCAATATCTGAAGCAATTTTACTTTGAATTTTTATGAATGGATATCAATCTTCACAAATTCAAACTACAGAGATCTAAAAATATGTCTATAAGCGCTTTATACTATTTTAAAATCAAACGTACTAGTCCCGACATTGAAATTCTTTTATGTCTGAGAGCGACTTTGGAAACGTTTGTGGGCGGTGCCGTGATCTATTTTTAAGCAAGGAGACCGCACATGGGTGGTCGTAGTATGTAGACCAAATAACTGAAAATGTTATAGCGCTTGTAAATATTTAAAAAACTTAAACCAGGATCAAAGTTACTGGTCAGTAAAAATCGAAAAATCGCATCGCGTTTTCGAATGGCATCCAGTGTGTTTTGGCCATAAGACATAATATGAACAACAACAAGAACAACAATTTTTTAATCAAAAAACAAAAAAATTACAAATATTCGACAGGTGTCCCCATGAACATAATCCTCCTAGTAAAAAGAAGAAAAGTAAGAATTGCATAGGATGTATATTAACCGAAGAACACGTTTTTGAAGTTTTAAAATTTTATCAAGATGAACTTTGGCTACTGCTATGCGAACTTGGACACTGACTTGAACACGAATGGACTTGAACACGAACAACAAGACAGTCGTTTTTAAGGTACTGTCGATCATGTAAGGTTTCAGTAAAAGTGAAGTCCACATATCCATAACCTATGTGATTCCGGGGGGTGGTAGGTCGCTGAAATGCCAGAAGATTAGGCCTGGTTACCAAGGTTTCACTGATATGACGTTTGTATTCACCAGCATCACTTCGGTCAAGAATGGACAAGGAAATTTTGCCGGAAAATGGCCACTCAAGGGTATCATCCCAGTCTGACTGCATCATGTGAACAAACAACGAGACACGACATCTCTCTTCAGGATCGAGAGGGGTGTCCACTCCATTGATGAACAATCTAAACAGCAAGATTAGATCTATTAATGTTTATCTGATCAAGAAAAGTAAAATAACAGATATGTTAGATACTCCACATTAATCCCCGAGCCAACGGCTCGTTCCGGGGCAAGGATACTAATTCCACCCGGCTATTTATCCCCGAGTTCAGGAAAGCATTAGTGAAGTCTAAAGTTCATCAAAGATCGAGGGCGTGGGTTACGTCATAGACATATTAAACCTAGAATGCGTGCTTGGTCACGTGACCGGTGTCCATATTGAAAACAAAAACGCCCTTATAAATCCGCCAAGTTGAATTTGAGTATGAGTACAAACTACAAACTACAAATTATATAAACAAAGCTAAAACTAAGTTTCAGTAAGCAGAGTCAAAGTTTTATTACAGGCTTCTGTGGTTTCCGACAGTGTACTGAGTATCTGAGTGTAGTCATCTATTCTGTGGTGTCACACCTTATACAGTCGCTGCATAATGAATATACCGCCTAAATAATATCGGCACTTAAATTAATTGAATGCCGATGATGCATAACATCAATTCATATATTGCGTAGAATCTCAAAGATTTTCTCAATAATTCACGTCGTCTGTCTGAAATGTTTATACATTTCAAAAAAAACAACAACACCGTCTCGCTCCTTCCAAGCTCTGTATAATGAATATACCGTCAAAATAATATCGGCACTTAAGGTGGCTCAATACAGCTTTTAAAAAATGGAAAACTCACGATTTAGATGCGAATTTTTGAACAATTATTACTTGTTGATAAACCAATAAAAAAATTTCATGCGAGTCACTATATGAAAGGTTTACATGAAGTAGTGCATCACATTATAGGCGCGCAAAGGGGAGTGGGATATGAGTGTTCTGGTTAGCGCCTGGCCGATCTTGTATAATAGCTGTCGAACATACAAGTAAACAACAGATCGAAATATAAATCCCTTCATGTACATCACCAGAAAGAAATAAAGCTATCCTTACCTGAATTATTCAAAATATTGTCGATCGTTTGCATCGTGAAAATCAAACATACCGCATGTAAGCTCGTAACAGAAATCCTGAGACGAATCTTGCAGATGCAATACAAAATTGACAAAATAGAGTTTCATCGCTCCCTTGTTTAAAAAACGTCTTGTAGCTGTATATTTTTAAAATAAATTGCTCAATGTGATAAAAATGCATTGTCATTTTTCCATACCTTGTAAATTTACTATATAAACTGGCTTCTACAGCCCCGTTGAACTCTTCAAGTATTGACATCTCGGAATCATTTAAAGCGTTAAATGATACCAAATATCATCTGACTGTAATCACATGTTTAATTGAACAATTTGAAATGTTGTTTCCTTAAAAAAAAAATGGCGAAAAAAGCCCCAAAACTGTTGAAAAACCACAATTTGCTCCTCAATTTTCGATGCCTGAAGCCCATAACTCCCTGCACTTGTTCGTCGCGATGCACTACTTCATGTAAACCTTTCATATAGTGACTCGCATGAAATTTTTTATTAGCGCCTGGGGACGAGGTAGCCTTACTTATATAAAACAACATCGACTGTGAATTTGAATTTTTGCACAAAGGTTACGCAACTTCCGTTCCTATGGTAACAATAACGTTTCAAGATGGCAGATATTTTGGCTTTAAAGTAATTTAACTCGTAAACGACATTGGTGACCCCCAAATTTTATTTAAAAAATGATTTCTCTTGGTATAATCAATTTTAAAAAAATTCTGTGAAGCCAAAAAAAAAATTATGAATAATCACCTTTACGTAATTTAAAAAATTTCGGCTCCACAGAATTTTTTTCAAAATTGTCAACGTAATTCAATATACTAAGGGAAATCACTTTTTAAAATACAATGTGGGGTCACCGATGAGTTACATCACTTTAAAGCCAAAATAACTGCCATCTTCAAACGTCATTGTTGCCATAGCAACGGCAGCTGCGTAATTTTTGTGCAAAAGTTCAAACTCTTTAGATGTTGTTTTATATAAGCAAGGTACTTTTTATTTATCAAATATAATAATACGCATCTAAATCGTGAATTTTCCATTTTTTTAAAACCTGTATTGAGCCACCTTAATTGAATGCCCGTAATGCATAACATCAATTTATATATCGGGTGGAATCTCAAAGATTTTCTCAATATTTACGTCTGAAATGTTTATATGTTTGAAAACAACACTGTCTCGCTCCTTCCTAGCTCTGTACAATAGACTACGAGCGCTCCTTACTTTACACGGGTTTAGCTTCCCGGGCGTTCTAGGGGAAAGGAGGGACGATCGACAACACATAAAAAATAGGTACGCTGAGTGCACAAGCGCCCACTATCAGTATATTTCACCAGATCTAGCGTGAGTATCACTGGTGAGTATAAGCAGAAGATAGGCTAAGCTATAGAACCAAATAGATTCATTTCTCGCTATTTTTGATATTCTGGTTAGGATCAGCATCCATTTTATATGACACAGGATGAAAATCATGCACGAGTTGCATTTTAAAAACCAATCAAAAGCTTATAGATATTGTTTGAAAAATCACAAGTCAACAGAAATTGCACAGGTCTACCCCTTGTCTTGTTTACATTCAATTTTCCTGGGAAGCAAATTTGAATGGCTCTCCACGGAGCTTCGTTATAATAACAATTTGTTGTAACACTGTAAAATCACAATGGGTTAGCCTTTCCTTTCCATAGTTCACTATATATTCATTCTTCAGACCAGTTGGTTCTATTATTTTGTTCGAATTTTAATTTTTCATATTTTTTCGAAGATGTCTTCAAAATAACAGGCCAAACCGGATGTTCTCTTGCGCGCAATATTGAGACGCAATGCAGTCTTGCAAATCGCAATCGCTTTTGTTTTGACAAGTTGCTGCCTGAAAGCTACAATGTTTTGAAAATATATTTGGAAGTTTTTCAATTTGTGCAAGATTTATAACTCTTACTGGAAAATTAACGAATGTTTTAGAGTATTTTATTTATAAATAAATTTCATACAAACTGATGTTCCAGTCGACATAAAGACGAGATAGCGTTTATAGAATTTATTAATTTGAAAGACTTAAATATGTATATTGCAGGCTCGGGGGAACAAATTCACCTTTAATGTTGCAATAAAAATTGAAAAGTAGAGTGAAATATGAGAACAACTTGTCAAATTTACAGACGGTAGTGTATTGTTTATCAACGTTACAGCATAAACTTCTTTGGCTTTTTGCAATACTGTATATGCTTTATGACGCTTTACAGTTTCATAGTTCTAATAATGAAAGACAACTCGACCCAACACCAGACAGGTTAAAGGAAAAAGGTTTTATTTAAGATAAAACTTAACGAGAGAGCAAAAACAATATGGCCGACAATAATACAAGGAGCACAGCAGCCCAAGATAGTCTGGGTCACTGAGCTATATATATGTACTGGCGCTTGTCATGTGAAATGTGATCCATTCCTGTCATTATTCGTAATTAGACGTCAAATCGTGCCACGACAATGCAACGAAGTAATATCGACCACGCACCGACAGTGATGTCTTGATCAAACATCTCTCTTTCTCCCTCCTTCCTACCATCTCAAACAAATGTCGAGTGCTATAAGCTCCGCGGTCTTTTAGACCGCGGGCGCAAAAACGAAATACGCCCACTTTTCGCTCTTGTCAAGTTGGTTCCGCCTTTGCATAAACAATACTTATATCTAATTAAATCTATCCAATAGGAACCGTTAATGTCATGTTTATTTATAACATTCAACAATTGTGTTTTGTATTTCTTCCTTTCCCAAACCGCTCTGAAGCTCTCCTAAGCTGAAAGATTGGTTCTTCCTATCATGCCCATCTTTTTCTTGCGAGTCTTCGGTTTAGGTGTGGCTTGTCATACCATACGAGTAAACTGTTAAACACGTCGGAAAATATCAATACAATAAATTCGCGACACACATTGAGCCCTAACCCTAATATAATCTTTATCTAATCCTAATCCTAATCTTTATCTGACACTAATCTAAACTTGATGACCTTTTTTTTAATTTTTTCGGACAACTAATCGTTCATAGCTGTTTATAGATTCTAAAAATCTATATTTATATTCGTGATAGTACATGTTCTTACTTATTTTATCCAACATTTAGTATAGGTAATCATGCGATGTTGCTCGTACAATTATGGATTAATAGTACGAGTGATGTTTGGAAATTTTGCCAAAATTGGACGAGCCGCCGTTACTTGTTTATTATTAGCATGACAAAATTGGATACTTCTTAATGTCAACATCATATATTCTCTCGCCAAAGCCCAGTCCTGCCAGATTTTCAACCAAAATTTGGTACTTTTGTCCGTATTTTTATTTAGTTCTTTTGTTAAAGCAAAATTTGATGCTTTTGTTCGTATTTTCATCTAGTTCCTCTAGGGCAATTTCATTTCACGCTAAATGTTTGAAATACCTTTCCGCCATTTTGTTTGTTGTGGGAAAATCATTAATTGTACTAGTGCAGTACAATTAATGAAATAATGCTAATAATAAGAGAAGTTATAACCAAATTACTGTTATATTTCAAGCACTAGCTTGTTATTATATGATCCCCCCCTGCAACAAAAAACAAATGAATTAATACACGTGCTATTATATAATATCATTTTGTAACGCGGGCATGGACGAGCGGTGACTATTGAACGGCGGTGTGAAATCGTGTAGACTAAAGTGTATTACAACTGATGTTGAGAATATTTTGAGAAAATTTTTGAGATTCTACCCAATATATAAATTGATGTTATGCATTTCGGGCATTCAATTAAATGCCGACATTATTTTGACGGTATATTCATTATACAGAAGACCGCGAGCAGTCCCTCGGGAGAAAGGAGGGACTGCCGACAACCCAACAAGAAACGAAATTCGCGTTGCCCACACAACGCAAAATTTCCATTGGTTGAAATTGATGCGTCTGTCAATCAATTCTGATATGTAGTAATTATGCTATAAATAATTTCAAGACACAATGTTGAAAATATTCATTTATAACGCGTAATTTTCTTTTATTGTGGGGATCAAACAAAAAACTACCACATAACTGTTTTCCCAGTTTTAATTTCGCGCACCTGTGGTTTGTGCGAATTTACATACCGGTAAAGTATTCTTCCACAGAAAAGTTGTGTTTTCAAAGTATTTTTTAATGCAAAATGCCACATCATTAGTTCAATGTATAATATATTGAATGACGTACATGAACTTACCTGAGGCAAAATTTATACCCATAAAAGTTGGTATAAAATGGAGGACTGTGCAACGCTGTCACGACATTATCACGTGCATTCTCCAGATGACGTGCGTATCCAGTGATCCTCCACAAGTACACGCCGTTACCCATACGCGCTTCCAGTTCGATCAGCGTGTTTTTCAAAAGAGTCATACTTCCTTCATTTTCCCTTTGTTGCCTGTCAACACGACCTGAGTTGATATAACAAAAAATCAAAACAAAGGATCTATATGTTTAGTGCAAAATTTGTATTGTATGTCTTTTGGATTTTAAGCTTCGAATTCGTAATTCTCGATCCATTTCGTTTTGTTCAAGGGCATATGAATTATAAAGGTACGTCTACATTTTTGCGATTTGTCGGGCGGATATCCTTCATTTCGCTGAATGTCAATGAGTTGATCATGTCGTCAGATAATGTTTACCTCAGTCATGTTATAGTAATACCATGAAATTTGACAACCTCAAATCCAATCAAATCCCGCTCGAGCCAACGAATTTTTCGTTGCTCGATTGCAGTGTCAGATTAATATGAAACTAGTTTGACAACCTCGTTCACACGCTTTTTCCTGGAAATTGGAAACGACATCGGCTCGACATATCGCAGTGTTTTAACTCGCTAGGGTAAAAAAAATTCCGATTACATTATATAGGTAGAACGTTTCTCTTGGCCATTATAAACTAACAATGATCGGCCGATATTTTCAATAGTAATTACTTGTACCACAGGGTAAATGGCAAACACGCAAAACTACAGTACACTGAGTACAAATGGGCGTGTAAACTACGATATCAACTCGAACCAACTGAACACAACCTGAAAATGTATGCATGTAGAAACCTGAGCTTTTTCCCAACTGCATGTTGCCGGTTACGTCTATAGCTATGTACAATATATACACAGGTATACTTTTCCCTTAAAATTCCATCTACAAGAGGCCTTCAATATTCTGTTGTATCCAGTAAAATGCTCAAAATTTAGAATAGTTATCCCCAGAGACGCCGGAACGATAATAAGGCAAAGGGGAAGCAGACGCATACCAAGGGCACCTCTATAGAGCAAAAGTTCAAAATCTCCCCCCCCCCCGTCGCCAAAAAATTTTCGGTCAGTGTACCATTTTAGGGGTCAAAAATTTTTTCCGGACATACCAAAATTTTCCGTTAAGTTAAAAATTTTTTCTAAATTCCAAAAATTTTCTAAAATTTTTGTAAATTAAACTCATTCTTTACCAAATTCACAATTATTTTTGTTAATTTACTTTCTCTGGGCCTATAAATTACCTGAATCTCATGATTTTCCCAGAAAAAGCATCACTAGAAATGTGATTTATCACGTAGTATTTTACGACTAAAAGGGCACTTCTGCCCCCCTGCCACTCCTAGCAAAAGGCAAGGGAGGCAGCCCCTGCCCCCCCCCCAGTTCCGGCGTCCCTGGTTATCCCTACACCGGTCATGCAGGTCTAAAATAGATATATTTCTTCCCCTGAAATTTCCATCTATGAAAACCCCTCAACATCCTATCGAGAATGATGTCTAAAATCTAGAATGTATATAAACACCAATAAGGTAGATTAATTTTGTTCTCGACCAATCAGTGCATGCATTTGTTTACATTTTGCTCTAAGCTAATCAGAATACGTGAATTCGAGATAGCTGCTGGAAAACCCGAAAATTTTAATACAAAAATATGATCCTAAATAATAATTTTATGCTGGTCCAACAAACTGGGTTGGCTCAATCTCGTACCCAGAGCAATGCCTGTGCGCGGACTAGGATGGCATTGGCTCTGGGGAAATTGACAACCTGAACCCTAAATTTAGGGGTTCCGGTTCTTTGTCGGCATGCACGATTGATAAACGTTAAACCAATCACAGCACAGGAAAAATTCAATTTCCCCAGAGCCAATGCCATCCTAGCCCGCGCACAGGCATTGCTCTGGCTACGAGATTGGGGTTGGCTTGCCTCGCCTTGCGAAGTTAATATTACACTGAAAATATGCTTCTGCTGTTAGTTATGAAATATTGAAGACCTGCCAAGTCTCGGGAATGATGGCTGATGAAAAATAAGTCCTAGCGAAATATTCCAATGACATGCATTGTGCTAGCTGTGAGAAAATGGTATTTCTGTTTATTTCTGGTGGTAGCTATGTTAGTGGCCAGTGTTTCAAAGGTTTTATAGTTACAACTTCTTATTTGTTCGGACTTATTCTCAGCTGGCCTATAGCTTCGAAGTGCTCACCTATATATGCCCATGTGAAAACCTTTCTAGGTGGAATCTTGGCACTTGTGAACTAGTCGGTTTGCAAAGACAACCGAGCTCTTACCAATAATCCCATATCATGATATACTATTATGATACATTATGTTGGGCTGACTTGACCATGACCGTCAGGATGTTTTTGTATTAGGATTATTTTGCATCTCATAAATTAGTCTCTGGCTTGAATTTCTCCAAATCTGTTCGATATATTGGCAACTCTCAACATTTAAATATCGAAATTCTTGACTCTTTAATTTTGTTTTTAATCACCAGCTACACGAATAAACTACTACCAAATTGTAAAAAAAAAAAAAAAGTTCACCAGCGTAATAGAGGGTCTGAATGGGGTTAACTGACAACTGACATTTGCCTGAATTTTTGACTGACAACTGACAAAATATCCTAACTGACTACTGAGAAATGATGAAAAAAATGATAAGTCAGCATTTTGCAGTAACTGACTACTGACAGCTTGCAATATATTGCACTGACAACTGACAATTGGCTTAAATTTTAGCTGACAACTGACACCCAAAGACCCCCATTAAGACCCTCATAATACTTACGCTTTACGGCATTTACGCGGGTTTTCCAAGCAGCTGTCATCGAATTCACGTATTTTGATAGGCTTAGAAAAAACCCCGTAAAAATTACGCTGATTGGTTGTCAGCGAAATTCCTCGTTATTATAAACATCTTATTTTTTTACAGTCATTAGAGTAAGTAATAATTTTGCCTTCGGTATTTCGAGTCATTGGTTCACATGCACGTGTGCAACAGACCGTGCACATTAAAGAAACTGATCGCTTATTCGCAGTTATTGTTAGGAGAATGTCCTTTAGCCGAATAATACACATTGTCATCTTACCTTCGCCTCCGCAGAGGAGTTTTATGGTTTTAGTGGTTTTACCTTGTTGAAAATGTAAGACGTTCGAGTAATGGCGGGAGTCGGGAGAGTGCGCACATTCATCAATTAACAGGATGACTCACATTTTACGGCACTTACTGTAGACCGCGTGTTATAAACTTATTATCATTATTATACGTCTTTATTAAAAATTGAAGTTGCAACAAACGTGCATCTTTACAGTGCATACCGTATAAGATATATATATATATATATATATATATATATATATATATATATATATATATATATATATATATATATATATATATATATATATATACATAGTAATTATTAAAACGTTCAGTGCATCTGAGAAATGTTAATTAGATTATTTACAAATTTAGTATTATTTATAAATTAAATTATTTACATTATAGTTAATATTATATATCGTATATAACAAAATTTTAAAACTAAAAGTCATTATTATTATTATTATTATTATTATTAAAACTTTATTTAAAGAAGGTTAATTTACTAGGAAATATGCCAGTTTAGCTTTCGCTAATCTTCCACTGGACCTTTCTAAAAAAGACACTTGTTCAAAAATGATTGTTTAAAACGTTCTGTGTAAACTTTTGGTAACATAAATTGATGATCGCGTTCTCTTAAAGTCGTCGACGTTCTTCCGGTAACAACTCATATAGGCAATGTTCAGGATTGTGCATGACCTTATTGAACAATAATCGATCCCTCTCCTCAATCATCTTGGCCATTGAATATTTATTCTGAGTGTATCCATATCGGAATGCACGATTGAGAAACTTGTTGAATTTATCAATGTATTTCGCTTGCAAAGCCGATCCCCATACTTCAATTGCATAGTAAAATAACGACAGGATCAATGAATCGAACAATTTAGTAAGTTCATTTAGCGAACCCTTACGAAAAAAGTCTATAGGTGGCCTATAGGTTCCTATAGGAATTGTTCCAATTCCCTATAGAAGCCTTTAGGCACCTATAGAGCTCTATAGACTTATAGGCATCCCTATAGGTCACCTATAGAAAATGTTCCAATTGCCTATAAAAACCTATAGGTTTCCTATAGAAACTTATAGGTTGGCCTATAGGCCAGGCCTATAGACTTTTTTTGTTAGGGAATATCCGTAGAATTTACAAACTCTCAGGATGTAAATTCGACTTCCTGCCTTTGACAACAAGCTATCTACCTGCTTGTCCCAACAACGTGGGTTTTCTTGAAAGGTGACACCAAGTAGTTTTAACCATTTTTTAACCATTAATACCCGTTTATTGGTCAAACCTGATGCTCTACCAGCATTGACGGCTGAACTTCTCCATAACAACATAGACGTCTGTTTTATTACAGAAACATGGCTTCATAAGTGCAGCCCCTCAACTTTAATATGTCCAAGTGGTTGTACTATAGTTCGTAAGGATCGCGATCTTCGGCCAGGAGGTGGGGTTGCCATCTTGTGTAGAAATGATTGGAAAATTATCAATGTCGACCTCGATAACAATTTCGAATGTATCTGGTGCGAAATTCACACTACGAATAGTTCATACTGCGTCTCTGTAGTGTATCATCCACCTGAGCCAATTTACAATGAATCTGATTTCCTTAATTTTTTATCTGAATACTGTGAGAAGATTCTGTTATTGCAACCTAATGCCAAAATAATTATTGCTGGTGATGTAAATCAACTACGCATGCATGACTTTTGCATTCAGCACAACTTTGATCAAATTGTGAGGAAACCTACTAGAGGTTCTCGGATACTGGATGTTTTCTTGACCAATATCCCTCATTTATGGAAGGCTCCTATAGTCTTTAGATGTTTGGTACGCTCTGATCAGTTAAGTCTGAGAGAAAATTTGTATATTTTCGTGATGTGAGGTACCACCGAAAAATAAAAATGGAGAATAAATTGAAGGCATATGACTGGAGCCGGATTTACGATGCCAACACTGACGATGTTGACGAAGGAGTCGAGTTGTTGAATGAAACTCTTTGTAATATGTTCAATGAGTGCTTTCCCACGATTAAAGTCAAAATGTCGACTCGTGATTCACCATTTATGTCCCCGCTTGTAAAGCATCTGTGTAATGTAAGTAATGTACGGAATTGGGAACTTATGAGAGGCGCTGATACCTAATTCAACAGAAGATAAATAAACTTATTCAAGAAAACCAAGTCAAAGCCATTCATGACGATAACATCAAATATAGTCAAGGTTCTCGAAAATGGTGGAAAACCGTTAACCAAATTACTGGGAGAGGATCTAGGTCGGAAAATATTAGTAATATTATCGATCCAGAAATTATGAATGCTTACTTTCAAGGTATAAACACTGATAATGAGTACGTGAGACCTGATCTATTGACAATCCCTGAAGGAACTCGAGTTCCAACTGTTGACATCAAAACTGTTGAAAACTTTATGATGAGACAAAAACAAACATCACCTGGTCTGGATGGTATTCCGTATTGGGTTTGGAGGGATTTTGCCTGCTATCTTGCACCAGTTTTTACAAATGTATTAAACTCTTCTTTGAGACAGCAGCGTGTACCTAGTGTGTGGAAGCTAGCGAATCTAAGCCCATTACCTAAGGAATCTCCGTTAACCGAATGCGATCAACTGAGACCAATATCGTTGACTAATGTTATTATGCGACTCTTCGAAAGGATCATATTTCAAGAAGAGATTCGTCATCCCTCAAAATTGATTATTGATAAGAACCAGTATGCTTATAGGGAAAACTCGAACACTACTGCAGCTCTGATAAGGTGCCAGCATCATTGGCTAAAATGGTTAGACGATAAGGCTAACTTCATTCGGGTAATATCAGGCGATTTCAGTAAAGCGTTTGACAGCGTCTCCCACGATATTTTAACACAGAAATTGAAATCAACAAATCTTAATCCATACATTATCAATTGGCTCATTAATTTTATATCGTGTAGGAAACAGAGAGTTACTGTAGATGGAACTGTTACCAATTTTGTTAATATCAACAGAGAAGTACCTCAAGGTACAGTTCTTGGCCCCTTCTTATTTTCGTTAATGGTCAACGACATTGAAGCCAAACATCCACAAACGAACAATTTGGTCAAGTTTGCAGATGATTTAACAGTGAGTGTTCCTGTCACATCGTCTGGTGATTCGGCTTTGGACGAGGTAACTAACATTGAGAGTTGGGCAAGCAACAATAGAATGAAACTCAACTTTAAAAAAACCTGGGAAATGTTACTATGTACTCGTTCACCTGCCATACCTCCACCCCCTTATTAATGGAATACGACGAAAATTGAAATGTTGCTTATCCCGCTCCTTGACCTTGGGCCGGATTATTTCAATTTATCAATACCATGGAAAAGGCTAAGTATTGGTTTTTAAAATATATATTTAATACAGTTTTTAACTTTTCCTTTATAGTACCACTATTGTGTTTCACATTATTTTATTTACAGTCTATACATGAAAACAGAAAACCTTGAAATATTTCTAAGTAAGTGACATATATAATATTGTTTTGTTTTGTAGAACTGAAAGACCAGGTTTATGATCTAATTAGCAAACATTTTGATTCGCAAGCCCGGAACTTCATCCGTGCAAATGATAAAAGATGAAGGTCTAGACTGTACGGGTCAAAAGAGTTGCTAAACCTTTTTCCTTCCACACAAAGCAACTTATTAATGAATGTGGATAAAAAGCTTACTCGGACTGGCGAACTTACCGATCGGCGGACTCACGGATCGGCGGACTTGCGGACTGGATTCTTTGTGTATTTTATTTTAATCATTTGTTTATTTACTATTGTTAGTAAACAGTTAGTCTCCTAATAGTAGCAAAATTTGCTCCTAAGTAAATGCCATATTAATATGAAATACACAAAAATCCAGTCAGCCAGTATGCCGATCCGCGAGTCCGCCAATCGGTGAGTCTGCCAGTCCGAAGCTTTCTATCCACATTCATTAATAAGTTCTTTGTACGTTTGCATGGCGGCATTAATTATTATTGTTTTGCTTTGTGGAAGAAAACAGGTTCATTTATTTAGCAAATCTTTTGACCCGTACGCCTTCATCTTTTATTATTTGCACGGATGAAGTTCCGGGCTCGCTAATCAAAATGTTTGCTAATTATGTGATACGCTGAGTATAACCTGTATACAGTAGTAGGCTAAGACAACTTGTAACTAAATTTTCAAATTGTAAATCGTACTATCGACGGTATACGGTGTTTTATCTGTAAGAGCCATCGCTCTCTCTCTTTCTTTTTCATGTTTGAAGCCGCACTTCCAGTTACGCCGCCACTTTTCAACGAGGCGTTAAGACGCCCCAAAAATTAAATCATGTGTTGTTGCTCGTTCAATTAGGGATTAACTCGCCCCGCGGCTCGTGCAATTTTGGCAAAATTAAAAACATGGTCCAGTGCAAGGACAAATTATGTGGCTCCATACAATTTTTAAAAAAGAGAAAAATCATAAATTAGATCGAACTATTGGAAGGAATGTTATTTGTTAAAAATAAAAACTTGTACAACGTTTATAAAGCAACAGCTTAAGAATTTGAAATTGGTATGGCAACAATGACGACTCAACAAGGGCGATTTTTTGGCTTTTAGTGCACTTTACTTGAAAATATGCCAGGTTACTCCTATTTTTTATTTCAGGTAACGTTTTCGTGTAGTACAATAGACTACCTGACCAAGTTTAAAAAAATTCTGTAGAGTCAAAAGATGTTTATTTGGAAAAACCATGTTTATAATTTTTTTTTTAAATTTGACTCTACAGAATTGTTTTAAACTGTCAGATTGTTTATTGTACTAGAATAAAATGTTTTCTGAAATAAAAATGAGGGTAGCCAGGCGGTTTTTTTTAGTTTAAAAGTTTTAGTCCAAAATGTCGGTCACATTGAATCGTCATTGTTGCTGCTATAGCCAACAGTGCTCACCTCATTCTTGGGACAAGTTTCCAACTGTTTGATTGATGCTTTATATATGGTGTACAATCTTTTATTTCTAGCAAGCAACATCTCTTCAAAGAGTTGATCTAATTTATGCATTTTCCCGACATTTTTTAGAAATGTGGGGAGCCACCATAATACAAAAGCCGACCATGGATAAATTTGGTATGGGTATACTAAAATTGAGCGTTGTGTAAACGGGCCTTAAACGGACTTTCTGTCCTAACACAAATAATTTGGCACGGGTACCAGTTTTATCTGTGTTGTGCCAAAAATTGATCATGACCCTCATGATCGTACCCTGGTTCCAGAGGCTCTTTGCGAGGCGAAAAAAACGAGACGAGAGAAGGAAGAGCTTCTGGTCACATCGGTTGCAAATCCCACTTCCACACTTGATTAGGTTCAGAATTTGAATCTCGCATGTGATTGACCATTTGTAAAAATATGTCAAACCGGTTTGGGAAAAAACATTACTTAAGCTAATTATAGCTATAATAGCTGTAAATAGCGATAATTAGCCTACAGTAATGATTATTTCCCAAACCGGTTTGACATATTTTTACAAATGGCCAATCACATGCAAGATTCAAATTCTGAACCTAATCAAGTGTGGAAGTGGGATTTGCAACCGATGTGATCAGAGGCTCTTCCTTCTCGCCTCTAATTTATTTTGCCTCGCAAAGGATCTCTGGAACCAGGGTATGACGATCGCGACTTTGACAACAAAACTGGAAGTTCCGGTCCAAGCTAGAAGTACAGTTCAGTGGTCCTTGTGGGTTACGGTAGCAGTGGAGATTTAAAACTTGAACCGGTAAGTTACACGTTCATGACAGCCTACTACTCAGTACAGGTTATACTCAGCGTATCACATAACAATTAGCCGAAAAAACAACATTGGACAGTTTCACTGTGCTGTCCATTTCCTCCGAGAACTCGGTATAACTCGGATTCTGGATTTATTTCCGTATTTTGCTTGTGATAGGATAAAGCATTCGTAGGTGTAAATGTCTTGCCTTTTAAAGCCGACGAACATTTTGTTGGTGCCACGTCATTCATATGGGTTGTATTTTCTCCACAATGTTCCTCTTTGTCACGTGGCAAAAGGCAAAATGGGTGGCGATTTATTCGCTCTTGTATCATTAACGCATGCGGATGATGGCCACTATAAAGTCCTAAACTAATTTTCAAAGCACAAAAGTAAGACTGGAGGGATGATTCACTGTCTCCAATGTTATCTTGTACAACTCCAATGTTATAGTATGAAGTGGCAACTTCTGCGTGTATCTCACCGTGAAGCGCTTGTAAAGTTTGCAGAGCACATTTATACGATTCTAGAGCCGATCTGTATTGTTGTCTTGAATTTTGCTCTCTTCCAACACATCTGTAGCATTCCGCTAGTTTTCCATCCAGTGGAAGTTGTTGCCGAATTTCAAGTTCTTTCAGGAAGAATTCAAGCACTGATTCTCCTTTTCCAAATCGCTGCACAGCAATAGTGTGGTAATATGCTGCTAGTCTCTCATGAAGCGACAGTAGCCGTTCCTGAGTCTCGTCCACATCTTTGGCATTTTTATATCGTTCGTCTTCCATATTTTCTACATCCTTTTGTATACCTTTAATGGTTGTCTCAACATCTGACGAGTTACCCGAAATACGAAGATGAATGTACGCCATGTCACATAACTGGAGCAAAGTGCATACTTCTGCCGTCCAAACCAGTATAGATAATCTACTGATTTGCTTTGAAAACTCATCTAACATATTGCCCAATTCTGTGTCCAAATCTGCCCAAGGATAATTTCTTGTCCATAGGCAAAGTCGTGCTATCGCCCAAGCTATTAATGGTTGATTACTGGAAAAAGTAGCATCGAGCTCTTCTCCGTTTATCCAGGGCTTTCCAAAAAGAGGTAGCAACAGAAATGCTGAATTTACTGTACAAGTTTCAACTGCCTTTGCACGATACTGTTCACACCTTACAGAATTGCCAGTACACTTGTAATAGATGGTCAAAAAATGAAAGGCCAAAATCTTGAGAATGACATGTTCTGAATCGTTACTTAATTGAAGCAAACCATCTTCAATGCTTTGGGCAGCAGTTTCCCCACCCCCATTAGACAATTCGTAAATGCCCTTATAACACAGAAGCTTCCCTTGAACAGAAATAGGCAAAAGCGAAATTTTCCTGCTTGTTTCATCGTCTTCTGGGGGTAACACAGAAATTGTTCTGCTAACAAAAGTTGTTGCATAGAATTGTTTGCTTGTATACAGTCCCGCAATATCTCTATCGAAGTTACCGTCAGATACCTTGGACAGAGCCGACTCGTATAAAAGTTCAATTTCCACAAGCTATTTGGGTAAAGACTATCCAAGAAAAACTCACATTTTTGTAAAACATCAACAACCTTTTGAAGTAATACGTCATCATTCAAGCCATTAGTAAGACTGGATAAAATCCTCTGTTCTTCCACAAAGAATGTTTTAAACGCGATCATGGAATCACCTTTTGTGAAACGCGAGTTAAGGTGATGAAATAATTCTATGTAATACTCAACGAACCGAGCCTTCGATGACACCAGCACATCTTTCATTTCCTTTTCTCCTTTCTCTAAAGCAAACGACTGAATTAGAGGATGAACTGTGTACATTTCACGGTCACCATTGACATCAATCAGCGATTTCCTTTTGAGATTTTCTATATTCCGCTTTGCCTGAAGTTTACCTCCTCCAATTATGGCAATACCAGCATCCAGCCCAAATTCAGCACCATCAAACACAGAAAGACAAACAAATGCTTCTTTCTCAACGGTAGAAAGTTTATCAAATGAGACTTGGATGAGTTGTTTTAATCTAGCATCGTGAGATAAATAATCAGGATCATCTATGACATCCAGCAAACCTTCAGAACCGTGACTAATTTCATCCAGAAACTCCCGCGGACAATCTTTGATAAGGGTACAAAGTAGTCGTATAGCTAATGGGACATGTCCACACATCTTTGATATTTGGCTTTGTATGTCTACTGCTGTTGATAGTGGTAGGAATTTCAGAATCAAAGTTTCTGAAGATTGTGCGTCCAAAGGTTTTAACCGTAAAGAATCGAATCCTTGCAATCGTAAAGAAATAAATTCTAGGGATTCTCTTGTGGTGGTCAAAAAGCATACGTTCGGACAACGGTGTAGAACGTCGGTTGTGAAATTTATCACCGCCTCCTTTTTGTCACTAGATGTTAAAAGATCATCAATATTATCCAGAATGACAAAAACGCGGGTATTAATACTTCGAAAGGCGCGAAGAAGCTCATCAGCAGGGGTTATATTCACATTGCGATTCAACTCAGTTGAACGTCCGAATAAGCTAAGTAATTTCGAGGTGAATTCTTTCATAGTATTTACACCACGGAATGAGAAGTAATAAACAGACTCCCCTTGACTCTTTAATTGGTTTCCAGTGGCAATGGCCGTTGACGTTTTGCCAAATCCTGGTGAGCCCCATATACTGAATAACCGCGTTGACTGTGACATCATAGATTTACCCACAGCTTGGCATTCCTCATTCCGACCAACAAAGTCAGGAACTAATGGTGGAACACACGAATCAGGAATCGTTTGAAAATTTGCTAGTAAATAAAATATCAAAACACTATGTTAGACCACTTTACCGATTCCCTTGGTGAGCAATATGGAAAATGGCATACATATACATAAAAAATACATATTCGGTGGAGCAGTCGTCACAGTAAGCGCCTTTCACTTCTGAGATCGTGGGTTCGATTCTAGTTACGGACTCATGTGAAGAGTCTGTCAACACCTGCCGCAAGTCGTGGATTTTCTTTGGGCGCTCCAGTTTCTTCCACCAGGTAAATTTTACAGGGTGGGTTGGGATAAACATAGTTAGGAAAGTAGTATCACAACGGGCCTTATGCAGGTTTCCGTCCAATTTCCAGGAATTTCAGTTACAATACTGGACGTTTCATATGTTGTTTATATCATTATTACGAGTGTGTACCAAAATGTTTGAATCACTAGGATTAATTCATCCTGAGTTACAGCGTCTTGGAAAATAAAAGTGCAGACATCAGCATTATTTTCGAACGCCTTCAGAAAATGTGTTATACACAAAATATAGTTAAAAATCTTGGTTAAGGCTAAGACGGGACTTCTTACCTGATATAAACAAGAATCTAAACATTCTGGCCCAAACTCGCTTTTATTTTAGCATTTGATTTTTGGATAAATGCTTGGTAGCGTATAAAATGTCCAAAATTATTCCACCAAGCACTTATCCAAAAATCAAATGCTAGAATAAAGTCGAGTTTGAGCCAAAATGCTTAAATTCTTGTTTATGTCCGATATGAAGTGCTGACGTCAGCACTTTATTTTTCAAGACGCGGTAACTCAGCAGGAATTAATCTTATTGATTCAAAATTTTTGATACACACTTGTAATAATGATATAAACAACATATAAAACTTCAGTATTGTAACTGAAAATCCTGGAAATTGGACGGAAACTTGCATATGGCTCATTGTTGCAAAGATAAATAAGTAATATAAGTAAGCATAATACACAAATACTTGATGTAATCTATCACCGAAAACTGATCCCCGATGGAGAATGGCTGAGTATTGTATTATTGAAGGGATTTTTAGATTGAACTTTCGAGTGGGATTTTTATACATGTATATAAATTATTGATGTATTCGTGACAAAAGGAGAAGAAATACACATAAAAATTGCCACAATAGACAAAAAGGAAACGCATTTCATTTGGTAATGATTAAAATTTCTACTCTGACGAGCTTGGATATAGGATGAAATTTTGTCGCCCTTTGTCTGGAAGTTAGTAGCGTGAGTTGGAAAAACACTGCATGTGTTTTTACAAAAGAAATAGAAATTTTGAGCGATCACGTGATAAAAATAACTAATCATACAGGAAAAAATTCTAAATTTCCATTAATGGTTTGTGAATGTTTTTAGAAATTTACCATGTATACTATTATTGTAAAAACTAAACTCTTAACATGATTGGTTAATATAGATTTCCCATATGCTAAATTAGTAAAAACCTTGCTTTTTAATATTATCTTTAATGGTATTTTCATAGCAAGTATTAAACATTATGGTTTTTACCTATTTACCATATGGGAAATTTATAATAACCAATAATGGTAAGAGTTTTTACATTCAAAAATCCATTCATGGAAATTCAATTTTTTCTCCTGTGTCAGGTGATTGAAGTCTAAACAAAGAATTGGGAAATCACGTCTCAGAATATAATATGCAGGGATAAGATTTCGATCTTGACACTTTTTGCCTTCTAGGTGTTGTATTAGTCGCTTTTGTAATAAGTGTGCATACAGCTATTTCAATTAAGGTTGTCCCCCAAGCAAAGCGGAAAAGTCGAATACGAGCGCGAAAGGCTGCTGGAAATCGCTAATAAATTAATGAATTTATTAGCGATTCCCAGCAGCCTTTCGCGCTCGTATTCGACTTTTCCGCTTTGCTCGGGGGACAACCTTAATTGAAATAGCTGTATACGTTGCTAACGTGACACGAACCGTTTAGTAATAATACGCAATATGTAAATCACGTCAGTTACTTAAATTACTTAAATTACTGGCATTAGTTTCAAAATAAATTTCAAAAAAGCATTAAATTAAGACTCAAAGGATTCACATTAGTATATTCTCACGGTAATTCCAATTTGATTGAAACAAACAGTTGGCATTGTTGTATGTCATTAAATCAGCTAAAACATAAATTTTGTACAATTACCATTTTTGGAAGCTTGATCAATAATATCCATTTTCACGTCTTCTAACTTTTCATCAATATCCTGAAGAAATGTTGCTTGAGCATATTTGAAACCAGATATTTCCTCCATGACTTCTTGTTGAAGAAACTTGTTGGTTTCTTGTAACTCGGTCTTCATTCCGTCAATTAAATCGTTAACTTTAGCAGTTGGAAAGTCTTCTTCTTTAAGGCAACCAATGTCATCGATACGAACTACTGGGACGCCTGTTGCTGTAAAAGCATCCTTAGCTAGCTGAATATAATAATTAAAATCAACTTTACTAATTTTTGGCTTAGGTATGTGACATAAAGTGTTTCTGAGCAAACGAAGTTGATCGATTGCTAAAGTTACAGTTTCATCTGGATTTCCACTTAGACTAATCACTGAAGAATGGAAAGGACTAGGTTTCTTTCCTTTAAGGTACTGTTGACAAAGTGTCTTTGTAGACTTACACGTGGTGAGGCCAAAAGTGTTGGAGTAAATGGTAGCTTTAAACAGAGCTGTACAATCCCATTCATTAATCGACTTATTGGTTGGTATATCAGCCTTTCCGCCTTCTCTTGTCAGGAGGAGATTGCGGACCATAGCAGAATCATCCCATACTTGGTAACCTGGCAAGGTAGAAATCTTGTTGTCCCACATTGTTATAAATGTCTGACGTAACATCGTTGGAACTTCGTCCAGAACAATGGATGAAAATTTGAAAAAATTCAATTCTTCTTCGCTGAATGGTTTTACTGCCATGTTGATGTTGTTTAATTATTCCACATAGATAACAATTGCCTCGTTTTGACTAAAAAATATAAATTATGACAAGTTAGTTTCCATCCTCGTGTGACTAGTTACTTACAAAAGTAGTTGCGCAAATGCGAAACAATATGAAGCGTTTCCCTAGAGGCAGGCTTTCTCTAATGGGTCCTGAACGCATGTAGTGGCGAAAAAGATCATGTTATATGAATGTTACATTTCGACAAGATCCGAAATGAGCCGGAGCTTTGAATAGATTGATAGTATTGTACCAACAACATGAGGGAATTTACCTAAAGGAAAAATAATAAATAATAGTAAATCAAAGAGGAAATGCCTAAAAGTGGGAAATTGTAAGTAAAATATATAATGTCCAAGATGGCCACTAACCTTTCCATGAAGGGTAACTAATAATTAAGGATAATTTTAAGCCATATTTAAGAGAGAAAGGCAATGGACAAAATTTTATGATAATAATAATAATAATAATAATTTATTAACAGATCCAACAAAGTGGCGCTTCCTTGTTATGTACTACATTAGTATTAATATTCTACTAACATTAATATTACATAAAACTCTACTGCTAATTATTGTAACTAAAACTATACTATACAATTTACAAAGCCAAAAACAAGTTATTGCAATCGTTCCTTAGCTATGCCCATAAGGTAGTTCTTTGATTGTATGCTAAAACTAACAAGAGTTTCACAATTTTTAATATCGTTCGGAAGTTCATTAAAATATTTTGAGGCCAAATCCTGAAAAGTTCCCTTAACTCGAGGAACTGTCAATTTAGTTGAGTCACTTGATCGTAGGTTTCTCAATGGTTGCCATACTTCCAGGCTGGCATATGATGGCCAAGACGTATCATGTAATGCTTTATATGTTGATTTTAAAAGATGCCATTCCCTGCGTTCTTGAACTGGAAGCCAGCCTATCTTGACAGCATCTGCTGTAGTTGCATAGCGTCCTATGACAAAACTTGTTGCAGCATTTTGAATACGTTGAAGACGCTTTACTAAGTATAATGGAAGTGGGTCAAACACAATATCATTGTAGTCCATTTTTGATAGCACCAAGGCCTCAGCAAGATTCTTACGAAGTTTAAAATCTGCGAAATGGTTAATTTTCCGCAATGTACTAAGTGTGCCGTAGCATGAAGATGCAGTCACTTTTACATGCTCATTCCATTTTAAGTGTTCATGAAAATGTACTCCGAGCAGTTTTTTCGAATCAACTCTTTTCAACGTATTACCAGATATATTTAAGCTCAAATCTAATTCCCCAAGAGAGTGAACACTGGCCATTGCAACATTGCAACATTGCCTCCGTTTTCTTTGGATTAAGAGCGAGATTTGATTGTGATGGCCAAGCATTTAAATTCGCCAGATTGGCTGATATTGATGACAAACAGTCTGGAAGATTTTTCACATGACAATGTGAGTACAGGCTTGTGTCATCAGCATACTGTATACGAGACATATCAGGATGGATGGATTTTTTAAGATCAGAGACATATATATTGAATATTATCGGTCCTAGTATGGAGCCTTGTGGAACACCGAAATGGGTAACGGCAGGTTTTGACTGATGATCATCAATCTAGACAAATTGTCTACGATTGGATAAATAGTTAGCCGTCCATTTCATAAAGTTACTGGAGAACCCAAGATGATGCATTTTACGAAGCACGGTTTTAAAATTTACAGTGTCAAATGCTTTTGAATAATCTGCCATTACCATAAGTGTCAATTCTCCTTCTTTCATAGCGCGGGTGATGTCATCACGAATTTTGAGAAGGGCTGTCGTAGTAGAGTGTCCTTTGCGGTATCCAACGATTCTTTCGTCCAGGATTTTATTCGTTTCAAGAAAGTGGACCATTTGTATGGCCACAATTTTTTCATAAATCTTCGACAGGACAGGTAGAATTGCTATAGGTCGTAAATCCTCATCTTTCATTGGTGTTTCATTTTTCGGAATTGGAGAAATTCTAGATATTCTGTTTTATATATGATATTTATCATTTATAGACCCGGAGCGAGGGGCATTCGGCGTAATATTTCCCGAAGTGATGATATTTTCCGAGGGGCTTATACTGAAAGTTATAAAAGAACTCACTAAGTTCAGAATAAACTTTAAAACTTGCTGAATATTATTAAACTACGCGAATACAATTTTTAATTTCTTATGTATACCTGAGTTTTTGACGTTTCCTCTTTAAATATTTAAGCATGTATCCTTTGGATCATTAAAGGTAAAATGCGTCTTGAAAATGTTTTGTTAAATCAAATATTATGTACGAAAATACGAAATTACAAACAACAGCTCGCGAACGCCATATTGTTTCAGAGCGTGGTGTCCACGCGTCACGCGTGAGCGTGGGATACTATAATATCCCACGGTGGATCTGCCGTGGGATATTATAGTATCCCACGCTGGATTGAGAAATCATGAATTTGAGTGAAATACCGTAAAAAATCACATTATCACGTGGTACAAATGCTGTTTTTTTCATTGGACAATTTGAATTTGAGGTATAATATTCTGTTTTATATATACATACACTATATATCACCACAGAATTTTGCGAAGCAAGCATGCATGTCCAAATGTAGGAACAGTGGCGCCGCGGGACCCATGTTTTTTTGTGTTTTCTTTTTTTTGGGGGGGGGGGCAAAGGCAGTACTTTTCCGACAAACCGAAAATTTTTTCCGGCAAACCAAAAAATTTTCCGGACAACAACATTTTAAATCTTCACACCTCCCCGTCGACAACTTTGACAATTTCCGACACCCTTGACAATTTTCCGACAATTTCCGACAACATTAGCAATTTTCCGACGGGTCTCAACAATAGGCTGGCCCCCACGGCCACGGCGGCACTGTGTAGGAATGGCGATAGACTCTTAAAACTGAACAAATCCTAATTCATGACTAATACTTGAACATTTTCAAGAGCAGTTTCGCAGCTATTTTTCTTTATAACACGTACAATAACGTCAGCTTCTTTAATCGGTCTATGTTTTACCAACCAAACGGGAAAACATATCACAATCGATCGGATGTGATTCGCCTGGGTCTATCTGATCATAGCATGATCTATGCAGTTATAAGAAAGTTTATTGTCCCAAAGTCGGATTCAAAAATAAAGATTATCCGTAACTTTAAAAATTTTAATGTAAATGATTTTCTCAGTGATGTGTCACGAGTATCATGGGAAACAGCTACAATACATGATAATCACAATGTTTGTTGGAAGTTTTGGAAATCTTTATTTCTTGAGGTTCTTGATAGACACGCACCCCTTAGACATGTGCGGATCAGGGGAAATTCAATACCTTAGATCACTTTCTAATATTAAAGTGGAAGTCAAGTCCGTGTGTAAACAAACGGTTTGTTTACATTTTGAACTGCTGTATTTTTTAAAATATGATGTAGAAATCTTAAAACATCAAAGTCGACATGTATCGATAATATTCCAGCTAAAATCCTGAAAATATTAGCGAACATAATATATTCGTCAATAACTAAGATCTTAACATCTCATAAAAATCCGGAATTTTCTTTGATAAATGGAAAATGGCCTGGGTCCTACCAATTCACAATCAGATGACAAACGCAAATGCGAAAATTATCGGCCCATCTAAATATTGCCAATTACTAGTAAAATTTTTGAGAGATGTGTTTTTAATCAGGTATTTAATATAATACATATCTTAATGAAAATTCGTTGCTGTCCAAATATCAGACAGGTTTACGTCCTAAAAATTCGACTCTGAGTACCTTATGAATCGTGAACAAGTTTTTACTATAAATGGACATACATCGTCCCCCCAAAAAATTATTTGTGGTATCCCTCAGGGTTCAATTTTAGGGTCTTTGCTATTTCTACTTTATATTAACGACCTACTGGATAAACTAAAAAAAACTGCACCTTGTTTATACGCTGACGATACCCAAATATTTTCTTCCTCTAATGATTATGAGCTGATTGATAAATTAAATTCTAACCTAAAACAAATCAGTGAGTGGCTCGCCAGTAACAAACCGCAGCACCATCCTACTAAAACTAAGTACATAATCACAGGATCGTCATATAATCTACCTTATTATTAGCATGACAAAATTACTGGATGCTGATTGGTTGAGAGGAGTACAATTATTTAATTAATTGTACTGCAGTGCAATTAATGATTTTCCCAAAACAAACAAAATGGTGGAAACGTATTTTAAACACAAGCGTGAAATGAAATTGCCGTGGAGGAACTAGATGAAAATACGAACAAAAGCACCAAATTTTGCTTGAACAAAAGAAATAAATAAAAATACAAACAAAAGCACCAAATTTTGGTTGAAAGTCTGGCAGGACTGGGCTTTGGCGAGAGAATATGATGTTGACATTGAGAAGTACGTATCCAATTTTGTCATGCTAATAATAAACAAGTAATCATGCGATGTTGCTCGTACAATTAGGGATTAATAGTACTCGTGATGTTTGGAAATATGCCAAATTGGACTCGCCCCGGCGGCTCGTCCAATTTTGGCAAAATTTCCAAGCATCACTCGTACTATTAATCCCTAATTGTACTCGCCATCGCATGATTACCTATACTAATAAAGTTCACGACTATCCTGTGTTCTTGAACAAAAAACCTCTTTGTAGAACTAGCTCTTCCGAATGTCTGGGCGTATTACTAGATGAAAACCTCAAATGGGATAAATAGATTGAAAAGATATTGAAAAAAGTTGGATCTGGCATTGGCGGATTTGCAATGTTGCAAAGGGCTAAAAATTTCATTCCAGTAAGCCCACTCCAAATGATTTACAATGCCTTGATTCAGCTTTATTTTGATTACTGTTCTCCACTATGGGACATTTGTGGCACACAACTTCTTGATAAACTTCAGAAATTTCAAAATCGTGCGGCAAGAATAATTTCTAGCGCAAGGTACAAAATTGATTCTGCTGTTGTTCTTGAAACTCTTGGTTGGGAAA